GCAGGAAGTGTAATGTATTTAGTTAAAAGAAAAGGTGTAATAAAAAACTTGCTAGTGTAGTAGTGGCCAATAGGGCAATGTAGACATCAAAAGTACTATTACTGTATTTTTGGACCGCATTACAGTGCTTGAAACTTAGCTTTCTTGATGAACCCATGTGGCCTTGATTTTGTCTCCAAGCACTTATGTTCCGTATGCCATCATTGGTCCCCCACTTCTAGCTAGCTCGCAATCTTTGGCTGATTTCTTTCTTTCTTTCTTTCTTTTTCTCTTCCATTTTTTTTTTTTTTTTAAAATTAAGATTAGTATTACCCTCCGAGTACTTGAGTGTAAAGATTTTAACCATTTCAATAAGTGCATTTCTCGGATGTTGAATTTACATTCTTATTCTTATAAAAATTGAGATCACTTACTATTCCTGCTAATATATTATTGGTTCGAACTATTTATTTTTATAGAGCGTTAATCCCTTTAAAAACTTAAGCTAAGACAACCAATCATATGATTGGAGAGATATATATGTATTCCTCCCCTTAGAATTGATCAGGGCTCACAACGTGAGTGAAGGGTATCTATATCTGAAAATAAATAAATTTTAGGTTGTTTCATTTTTTTTATTAATTTTGTAATAAGAATTAAAATCATAATTTTATAATTTGAAGAATAATTATAATAATTAATTAATTAAATTCTTATTGATTATTATTAACTTAGGACTGTAATGAGACGAGTTGATTTCTTTTGAACTCAAGCTAACTTATTACAATTGTATTCAAACTCGATTAAAAAACTAAATCTAAACTAAATCTACTATCAAAAAAAAAAAAAAAAAAAAAAAAAACAAAAAAAAAAAAAAAAAAAACTAAATCTAAACTCAGTTCATTTATAATTTATAATTAAAAAGAAAATTTTCATCGTTAATGAGCTAAAACTCGAGTTGAACTCAACTCTTTCATTAAATGAGTTCAATAAACAAGCTTGAACTCAATTTGTTTATTTATTAAACGAACTTTTTTGAGCCGAATTTTAAACAGCTCACCTCACGAATAACTTGAATCATTCCGACCCTAATTTATGATTAAGAGTATTCTTGATCGGTTTATACACATTAAAATTACGTCTTTTCTTCGTACAATTTTAATAGTGCACCTCTCATATCAGTCTGCTCCGGTGCATTTGGGAACCTATTCTTGGAGAATTCTGAACGATGAGCTTGAATTTTTACTAATTAGACAAACCTAGCTAATTGGATTAAACTAAGTTTAATTATTTTTATTATTGGTAATAGTGGGTAATTGTTGTCTCCACCTAATTACACAATATGAAATAAGCATGTGCAATGCAATTTGTCGAATAAGACCAAACTTCTTTTCAAAATCCCAATTCACAAAATTAACCATTAGAAATTATTGATGTTATCCAAATTAACATCATAGTGTCACACTTTCATTAAAAATCGAATCTTGCTTACACTCAAGATGGGACATGTCACAAAAGAAAGTGATTAGATATTATCTCGAACCCATTTTCAATTTCTTGTCTAGCAGGAAATTTAAAAACAAAAAGAAAAAAGAAAGAAGAAAGTTAGGGTTGGATGTTGGAGGAGAGTCATTGTCTTATTAGAGAAAAACAAAAATACTTCTATTAATGTACATATATCTTCAAATAGCAACAATGAACTACACATAGTAATTTCAAACCCTCCTCATTACTTCTTACAACATTGGATTAAACCTAGGATTTCTCTTAAAACTTGTTCTTTCACTTTGGGTTTAAAAACTAATTAGCAAAAAATGAGGGGGGGCCTGAAAAAACAAATCATATATATATATATATATCTTTCACCAATTTACACATACACATACACAACCCACCACCGACCAAGCCCCTCTCTGTCTAACTTATATGTACAAGCACCAGCCTAGACATATATGGTTAAGGTTTAATGTTTTCAGGATAATGTCAAATTTTGTAAATGTTAAATATCCCCAATATTGACTTTAATTGATATGTACATATCAATCTGATTCATACTTTATGAATTAGGGTTTGAATTCTCTTTTAGAATATAAAGCTAATTAAAAACAACTCTTTTGTTTTGTATTGTATTTTTCAAATGAAAAATTTTTTCAATAAATTATTTTCTGTTGTTTGATTGCAATATTGAGAATTAGTGAAAAAAATATTAATATTTTCAATTTATAATTACAGAAATTTCATATTTAAAGATTTATTATTAAATAAGAGAAAAAAAATATAAGAAAATAATAAATTGTGATAATCGTAAGTAATCGTTGATGGTGACCCAGAACCAATGCTAGTGCCTATTGGTAATTATTAAATTAAGAAATATATATTTATAATGTTGTAATAAATTTGTTAATATCCGAAAAATTTCCCTCTCATGAAAATATGGAATCGTTTTCTTTAAAAATGATTTAGTTTTCATAGTGGTCAAATTCTTGCGATAAATAACTTATTATTATTTTTTCTTTGGTTCATAATAATAAAAAAAAAAAAGTTATTAGTGATGTTAAGAGAATATTGCTGTAGGTGTACGTGACTTAAGTTCCACGTTAATTCATTTAATTTTTATTTTTTTTCTAACAACCTGCAAATTAGGCTGCACGATACGAATATGGGGGCAAATGACATAACACGATATAAATACGGGACACCAAAATTTTTTACACGGTAAGACGAGAAGCATTCAAAACACGTTGAAAAAAAAAAAAAACAAATAAATGAACAATTATGTTTTAAATAACGAATTGATATTTTTTTATATCTTTTTAATATTTTATTATAATTAAAATTATTATTTAATTTCTATTTAAGACCTCAATTTCAAGGTTTTATTAATAAATTCATCTAAAACTTCTCAAATTGTTATAAAAGTGTTAGTAAAATGTCTAAAATTAATAAAATAAAATAATAATAGACGACGGTCTTTTACATTATTTAGAATGTATGATATTTGTTGGATACAACCTAAAATTTTATTTTAAAATTATCCATTTCTATAATGATAGAAAATGAAATCAAAACCCTAACACTTCCATGAAAACCCTATTTTAGATCATATGTGATTTTATGCGCAGGGAAAAATAATTTTCCACCTTCAATTGAACCATTTAACAAAAAAGGAAAAATTTACCCAATTTTCTCGACCAGAAAATAAACTAAAAACACCTTATTACGGGTCAAAAAAGCGAAGCAGCCAAGCAGTAGGTAGCAAAGTTTTTGACGATAAGGGAAAATTTTTATTTTAGAAAAAGTTGATTGAAAATTTTCCATTTCCTTATACTGACACATTAATCGTGTGGAAGTAGTACTTTGAAGTTCGAACAAATATTTGTTTTCTGCTATTAGACTTAAGTTTCAGATCATCTCTTTCAAGGATTTAATTAGTTAAAAGTCATCACTTTGATGAAGACCTTGTTTTCTTTATTTCTTCAATTCATTAAGTCACTCACTCACGAGAAATCAATCTCTCTCTGTCAAAAAAAAAAAAAAAAAAATTTGAAGTCACTCACTCACGAGAAAATCAATCTCTTCTTCGTCAAAAAAAAAAAAAAAAAAGTTTTAGATAGTTGATGCTGGGACTAGAATTGTTTCAGATTTGTTAATTGAAAAAAAAAAAAAAAAAAGTTTTGAGATAAGTTTGATGGCTTGGACTAGATTGTTCAGATTTGTTAAGTTTTTTCTAACTTTTAATAATAAAATTAATTAAATTTGCTGATTAAAAAAAAGGGTTTAACTTGGTGAAATTTCATAAATTAATGATAACTCTAGAGTTGTAAACATGATGATCATCTTAATTATAATGGCTTAACCACAATACTTTTTATATATACCTAATACTTTGTTGCCTTTTAACATTGTAGTGTGTATATATGTATATTGCTTTTTAATTCAAGAAATTGATTAGATTAGATTAGATGGTGTATTGCTAATTAAACATAATAATTATGAACTAAATTTAACACGTAAGCAATTAATGAAATTAGAATCACCATGATATATATCTTTTTAACCTATGTATATATCTAAACAATATAAGTAAAGCATGTTTGATTTTTTGAAGCATTTTGCTTTTTAATTCAAGAATATAGTTTCTACCTCTTATTTTGTAAATTCAATTAATTTGGAATTGTGGCAACCGTTTTCTTAAATTTAAGAAATTTAACTTGAAGTGGATAAATTCCCAGCATGGCATATGGGTTTCAAATCAAATATTTGGCAGTAATTAGATATTCTAATTTCAATACAAGCAAGGGATTCTTGTTATTGTGAAACAAAGCTAAATAAGAAAATTTAAAAGTGACTGAAGAATGAAGCTTCAGCTTGGGTCATCCAGTAATTTTAGGTTATACAAGTTTAGGTGAGAACAAATTGTAGGTCATACACATATAGATGAAGGCATTAGCAAGCTCGAAAGTGATATTCAAGTAAAAAACTTCCGAAATTGAAAGATATTAATTCTTGAATTTTGATCTTACATGCGAAAATGAAGATATCAATTCTTAAATTTTGATCTTACGTGTAAAAATGTAATTCACTTTTGCTGATTTAGCTATTTATGGTGAGTCAAAATTTAGTTTGATAAGTGAAAAGAGTTAAAGAATTTAAAGTTGGATACATATACTTGACGGGAAATTCATCAATTCATGTAATTAACTTTTACATGTAAAATTTTGGGAGAACATGAAGGGCATAGGGGTAAATAAAAGGTTAAGAAACTAGAGGTTTGGGACAATAAGCAGAAGACTATGACTATGAAGGGGGTATTAGAGTAAATGGAGAGAAAATACGAGAGGTTCACCTTCTTTAAGGTTAGGTCACATGATTGCCCGAACCCGAAAATGATCAGGTGGATTATCGGACGTCTCCACACTTCATCTTTTGACACGTAGCACTACCCTGGCCCTCTGTATTTATTGTCACCGATGCCATTCTTTCTTTCTTTTCTTTTCTTGATCCCATTCTTTCTTTAAGCTGTCATCCACCGTCTGATCAATCCCCACTTGACATCACACACGTCCAAAAACCCATTTTGATTTTATTAAAGAGAGTTAAAGACTAGGTTTCTTGAATTGTGATTCTCCTTTTTCTTTCTTGTTGTCACTGTTAGTGTCTTAAACACAAGCTTTATTATCAATTTCTTGGATTTGTTGATTCTTGTTAAGCGATTAAGGCTATATTATAGCTTACAGTCTTACAGTATATAGGTGGGTGGAGAGAGAAAGAGAGTGAGAGTATAAAAATAAAGAAAGAGAGAAGGTTTTTGATTGTTATAATATAGTAGGTGCAAGCAAGCAAGCAAGAAAGAAAGACAGAAAGGAAAGAATTTTGGTTTTGAAAGAAAATGGGGAGAGGTAGGGTTGAGTTGAAGAGAATTGAAAACAAGATCAACAGGCAAGTTACCTTTGCAAAGAGAAGAAATGGGCTTTTGAAGAAAGCCTATGAGCTTTCCGTTCTTTGTGATGCTGAGGTTGCTCTCATCATCTTCTCTAATAGAGGAAAGCTGTACGAGTTTTGCAGTAGTTCAAGGTATATCACCAAAACAACCAAACTTTGTACCTCTCCAATACACTAAAAAAGCTTCTCTTTTTTTATTTTCTTCTCTCTCTTTCTTTCATATAGCTAGCTAGATTCTCTCATTTCTTTGATTCTTTTTTCTTGTTTTGAAATCTGACTTTAGATCTTGAGGGCTTAGAGAGCTGATTTTTTCTGTTTTGAGTGTTGGTTTCTTTGAGCTTTTCTTTTGAAAGAAAAGAGAAACAGAAAGAGAAAGAGAGAGAAAATTAATCAATCAATTAATAAAAGTTGTTTTTTAATATATATATTTTTTTTTATCTCTGTCGAGGTTTTCCGTTTCTGTGAATGTCTCGGCGTTTATAGCAGGTTGAGTGTTTGGTGGTTGGGTATTGGTGTTAGATCTGCAACTGGAAAATAAATTAAAGTGAGAAAAGGGGAAGAAGAAGAGGAAGGATAGAAGAAGATTACTGTTATATTGACTCCTTAATTTTATTTTATTTTTCCTTTTGGTTTTCCTTAAGTCTTTGCCTTTTTATCTTTCTCTCTTTTTCCTCTTTTGTTAAATCTCTGAATTTTCCATTTATGTCTCTTGAATTTCTCTGTGTGTTTGAAAAAGAAACAAGTTTCTTTGATCGATCTGTTGCTTTTTTTTTTTTTCCAAACCTCTCTTGAAATTTCTGGTCATAGCTTATTTGGAGTTTTCTCTTAATAAACAAACCTCACAGAATTTCTTCTCTTGATTTCTTTAGAAGCAACACTTTGTTTATGGAATTTGTTTGCTTCTTTTCTTTTCTTCAAACTTTCTTCAGGTCTTTAAACACAGTGTTATTGTTATACCTTAGCTAGCCACCTTTAGGGTCTTTTCTTTTAAAATTTTTGTTTCTAAAGCTTTATTACTTAGATTTGATCTGTTATTTCACATTTTGTTCAAGAAATTTGAAAATTTAGTTGATCTCTCTCTTATATCTGCAATGTATGAACTTATTAGGGTTTTTTTAACCTTCAAAATCCAAAGTTCATGGCTTTTTTTGCATTTGTTTTTATTTTATAATTTCAAGAATTTTGTTGGCTTCTGTCAGCTGTCTCACAAGGGAAAAGGAAACTCCAAAGAACGACCAATGGTTTGTTGTTCTCTTCCCCATCATCAAATTTATTTCAGATTTTTATATATTTTGCTTTAGTCCATCAAATAGAATGAGACATTTTGGCTGCAACTTTTTCTGCTGTTTAGATTAGTCCTTCTAAACGGGAGCTTCCATCTTTTCCATTGGCTCATAACCTCTCTCTCTTTTTCCTCCTTTTCTCTGCCTCGTCAGGTTTTCAATCAGCTAAAATGATGGAGACGTTTAGGGTTTTGATCATCCCAAAGCTAGTACTATGATTTTAGGGTTTCTATTCTTCAGATCAGTCATCTCTCTCTGTGATCCACAACAGTTTTCTTTCTTTCTTTCTTTCAGATGTCAATTTACGTTGATTAAGATATTTATTGAAGTCTGTAATTGAGTTTATGTGGTTTTGGAGTGTTCAATCTAATGTCCACAGGATTCTCAAATTCCTCAGTAAGATCCAAGTTATATTAGTACAATTTGTATCATACTGTGTACGTGCTTCTTTTAGGGTACATCTATAATCATTAGGATTATGAGTGTCCTACGTTAATTAATCCTCAAGATCCTTTCTTATGAACTTATATATGTAATTCTTGAACTAAATATTGATTTTAATAAAATCAGGGTTAGCATCTCTTTGTCTTTAGGTTAAATAATTTAATTTGACACAACAAGATTAATCAAATTTCTAATTATTTTTTTCCATTTGGGGGAGTGGGCGAATTGAAGTGAAATCCTTTTAATTTTTATAGATTTCTCATGTAATGCATTCATTAGCTAATCAAATGCTTGGAAACTTTATTATTTATTTTGTGGTGCTACAACATTGTTTGTAATTGATCCTGGAAAATATAGTGCAGTTCAAGCTTTCATTCAACTATATTCTTTCTCCTTTTCTCTCTTTTCATTTTCCTTGAAAAATTTTCTGTGAGAAATTGATGCTTGCATTCATTTTATTAATGCTAAAATTAGAATTTGAAATTACTATATTGTTTTTAACCCCATAAATTATAGCTTTCCAAGGCTGTTTTCTGCAAAGAGAACTTGAAACCTTTATACTTAAAATTTTAACCATGATTCAGAAGCAAATATATCTATTAATGGCTATAAAAGTGTCTAATCTCAAGTAACAACTCAAATTAAGCGACTGACTGGGCATATTTATTTACGACGCATGAGTTTCTAATTTATTTAATTTTGAGCCCCTTAACTATCAAAAATTCTAATAGTTCGGTAACAATTTAATTATTATTCCTTATCCTTCCACAATAAAGATTAACACTTTCATAAATACACTCAAAAATCTATATGTTTGTGATTAATTTACATCAGTTGTTTAATTGTTTTAACTGATTCTGCATATTTAGCATGCTCAAAACACTTGAGAGGTACCAGAAATGCAACTATGGAGCACCGGAGACAAATGTGTCGACAAGGGAGGCTTTGGTAATTCTTTTTTCCTTAAACCAACTTTTAACATTTCGATATCAACATTTGAGCAAATAACTTTGTTAAAGAGAGAGAGCCTTGCATACTACTAATTAATACCAATAATGAAGCATGAAAAGAGAAAATGCCTAAAACTGTCATTGCTAGTGTCTAGAAAGATGCATTTAAGAGACTGCTAAGTTCTCTTGTGTTAACATTACTTGCAAAATGTACCTTTTTATGTGTATTTTAAGTTTGTTTTGATTATGTATATTATCTATTAAATCTCATATTATTTCAAAACCAAATCATTCAGTTCAAACTCAAGGCTATTCGATTTTGATATATGATGAAATAGTCACTGGTTCTATAATTATTATCTATAATTATCATGAAGTTAATAAATACGTATGTACAGTATGGAAGCATTGATGTGTTATATAGTTTTTCGTAGGAGTATGCATGTATTTATCTAAGTTGATGAATCACACCTTGTAAACAGGAGTCAAGAGGTTGATGAAGATGTTAGATATGTAAATAGGTTACTAATTTATATTTGCATATGTGTTTTTCTTACACTTTCTCTTTCTTTCTTAATAAACCAATGAAAATAAAATTTTTTTAAAAATTATTCTTATTTTATCTTTTTTTTCCTAGTATATGATTAGAAATACTTTGGTGTTAATAAAAATTCATATTTTCATTGGTTTGGTCCGTGAATATGATCATAAATCCGTCTAGGCAATTCAATTTCTTCAGTTCTTACATTTTCTACTATACTAATCCAAAAGTTAATCTTCCCTTAATGTTGATTTCCTATTCCTAATTTCTGCCTTAAAAAAAACAAATATTGGAAGAAATGGATAGAAAACACAGCTACATTTCTCATAATATGCACTAGTATATGTCATTCTGAAAAACCATTTTAATGGTAGCAGCAGGAGCTAAGCAGCCAGCAAGAATATTTGAAGCTTAAAGCTCGCTATGAAGCCCTGCAACGATCCCAAAGGTGAGCGATGCCTTATGCACCATTAATAATCTTATCAAACTACCCAGGATAGGATAGGGTGTAGGGAAAGCCTGATGGCTTGAGTTTAGTAACCTGGTTAGTTGATTTTTTCCTGAACGTATGTTCATTTCTATTTAATTCTTAAATAAAAATTCTTCTTTGCTAAAAAAAAAAAAAAAAAAAAAAAAAAAAAAAAAAAAAAAAAAAAAAAAAAAAAAAAAAAAAATCTTATCAAACTCTTTAACTTAATTTTGAAGCATGAGCTTTGAATACTAAAACTCTGATGTTCTTTATGTTTCACTAGAAATCTTCTTGGAGAAGACCTTGGCCCTCTAAGTAGCAAGGAGCTCGAGTCACTTGAAAGGCAGCTAGATATGTCTTTGAAGCAGATCAGATCAACGCGGGTACTGGCTTTTATACTTGCATTATCTCATATATGTGTATTTCTGCGAATGGCTATACGAACTGTTATAGATTGATGAAAGTTAAATAAAAATAAAGATATTGCTATAACACCAAGAACTTATATTCCCTGGATCTTTCACAGACCCAATACATGCTGGATCAGCTGACTGATCTACAACGCAAGGTACATATATGGAAAGATCTGAACTTTCCATTTTTAGTTTATAGCTTTTCTTGCACCTATTCATTATTTTCATTTCTTTCATTCAGGAACACATGCTGAACGAAGCAAATAAGACCCTGAAACAAAGGGTAGGTTACGCTTTCCAACTTTGCAAGCTTTTAGTAATTACTTTTTATCAGTTTGACCAATCTGAGTACTGTGTGCTTTTGCAGCTGGTTGAAGGATACCATGTAAATACAATGCAGTTGAATCTAGGTGCAGAAGATGTTGGGTTTGGCCGCCAAGCAGCTCAACCTCAGGGCGATGGTTTCTTTCATCCATTGGAGTGTGAACCCACCTTACAAATTGGGTATATCTAGTTATTCTCTTCTTGTCTACAAAGTTTTTTTTTTTTTTTTTTTTTTTTTTTTTTTTTTTTTTTTTTTTTTTTTATTTTTTTGACAATTTCATGGAAAGATGTTAACGTTTTTCTGGCTCTTTAATTCTAATAAAATTTGATGGCGATAGAAAAAAAGTTTCTCTTTCTTTTGGTTATTTATCATTGTATAGGCAGCAATACCCAAAGATAGAAAAAAGGTTGCTAGTTACTAAATGACTCATTTGAATTACAGTATACAGCCAGATTTTTTTTTTTTTTTTTTTTTTTTTTTTTGACATTCATGAAAATGTTAAACTTTTTCTGGCTCTTTAATTCTAATAAAATTTTTTGATGCTGATAAAAAAAAGTTTTCTTTTGTTGATTTATCATTTATAGGCAGAATACCCAAAAAAAAAAAGGTCTTGCTAGTTACTAATGACTCCATTTGAATTACAGATACCAGCCAGATCCAATAACAGTAGTGACTGCTGGCCCAAGTGTGAATAATTACATGCCAGGATGGTTACCTTGATAAGAAGAGCATTAATTCTCAGCCATTGGTATGCATATTCCTTTTCATAAGAAGCAGCAAATTTTATGTGTTGTATGGTAATTTGACAAAAGCAGTTGTAATTTGGATCTATATATTTTTAATTCTGTACCTTAGGAACAACTGCAAGTAATTCTGTGTGTGGCCTGTTCCAAGCACTGCATGCACTACTTATTTTAGCAGTTGCAGGCTTGTTTGAAAATAATTCTCAATTTCTATATTAGACCATTTTAAGTTGTTTGTGTCTACCTTTTACCCATCTCTTCTTGTTGATCGACTAGAAAAGGCCTCTAGAATTAAATAATTAACGCTAATCAAGGTCTTAATCTCTATTTTTTTTTCCTGTAATTCTGTTGTTGGAAAGTAATTAAGTGTATACAGGTCATGCATAGGGCTGCATCAAATCCCTTAAATAGCTTGGAGTTCCAGTTTTTTCCAAGCTACCAATTGGCATATTGACAGCCCACAAAAGAAAACTAAAAGAGATCAAATAGGACAGCTACTTAAAAAGACCGATCAAAAGATAGAAAATTATGAAATCACGGTCTCAGCATATAAAAATTCTTAAAAGAGGGCCTGAAGCCTAATACAATATATAAAAGATTGACTCCATATTATTTGAGATAATTAATTACAGAATTAATCAAATTAATTGACATAACTTTGAAGTTTGAAAAGTAACATATGCAATGTGATATTCAACCAGTAGGTGGCTTGTGAATAAGAAAGCTCCTTCTAATGGAAATTGGAGTCTTGTTCAAGCATTTAAGACACTATTGAACATAGGTCCAGAAGTTCAGAGTCTCCTATATTTTAATTTCAGTGCTAACTAATTAATTAAATGGGCGTCAAGTCTTATGCCTAATTTGCACAAGATGCAAGTGGATCATAACTTAACAGGTAATATTATTAATTCATCTCTATCGTTTAGCAAATCTGGATTAGTCGGAAGACATCGCTTTGCCGTGAATCTGCCCGTTACGAATCTGAATTAGTCGGACAAATGGGTTTTGGATACCGAATGATTAAAATAAAAAAAATTATTGATTTTGCTAAAGTATATTAATTAAAAAAAATGAAATTGATAGTTTGTGCTAAATGTTTTATATATTTATATACTAAAATGATTTTGTTCATATGAACAATACATGGACAGTTTTGCCCTTCCATATAAAATTCATTTTTATATATTATATTTTTTACAATGATAAGGAGATGAAGGGAAAAAAAAAAGAGAAAGAAAAAAGAAGAAATAGTAGAAGACGAGGGGAAAAGGAAAAAAAAAAAACAAATAAAGATAAGAGCAAGAAAAAAGAAGAAGGAAAAAAATAAGTAAAAGCTGAAGAAAAAAAGATGTAAACATTAAGTTAAACCTATTTGGTAAAAATTTTACTGAGAGCTGATAGAAATATGAACTAGTCGTCCATTAATCTAATTTAAAGTATTTTTCTATTACCTTCTAACTAATTAGTAACTTATTATATTAATTAATAATATTATTTTTTAAAAAATTAATATTTAATGGAATCATTTTATTTATAATTATTTAAAAATAATATAACAATGCAACTAATATTTTTATTTATATAGCATTTTTATTGAAATAAAAAAATAATATATTCACCGAAAATGTAATACATGATAAAATAATTACATCTTTAAAAATTATTTTTACATTATTATTTTAATAATCTTTATTAAAGTTTTACAATAAATAACTAAAAATTATTGTTATCTATCGTCGGCTACCATCTATAAACCGGCCACAACCACAATCACTATCAATTGCCAGCCATATATAAATGTATTGATCCATTATGGGCCGGAGGAAGGTGGAGATGAAGCGGATCGAAGACAGAAGCAGCCGCCATGTTACTTTCTCCAAGAGGCGAAACGGATTGATTAAAAAGGCTCGTGAACTCCCCATTCTCTGCGATGTTGAAATCGGTGTCATCGTCTTCTCCACTGGAGGACGGCTTTATGAATTCTGTAGCAGCGGTAGGTACGCGTCCTTTTTTACCTCATCTTTTCTGTTTCTATTTGTTTCCTTGGAAAAAACCTGCAGAATATTAGATAATACTCTTATGTCGTAAATTAGCATCTACAACTGAGCTGTCTAACCCCAAAAATGCAAGTAGCCTTTTTCTTTCATTATCAACAAGCATTCGTCTTTCTTAAAATTAAGCTCTGTGAATTCCCCGATTTCTTTAATCAGAAATGTTATATTATATAATTCTATTATATTTTTCCAAGGGATTAATTCGATCAGTACAATCTGCATCTCTGTTATCAAATGTTTGATTTATTAGTCAACTTATATAATAGTATTTCTTTTTCTACTAGAGTACTGTGTCTTCCGTTGCACTTATATTTGCACCTGACGGCTAGAAGTTAATATTAAATTAAATGGATATTTTAGTGCGTTTGGATTATTATATTATACTTTGAGCTCCTTCTTCACTTCACTTCAGATCAGAGAAAGCTTGCGCTGTCGGGTACAGCGTTTTCTTCTTTGTTATTGACTTACTATCAGCCGCAAGAGCTCTCGATGCCTCTCTCGATTTTGCTTCGAAGAATACAGTAATTTGTTAACTCTCTCTGTGCTTCTCCGATTTTTGGCTTTCTAGAAATCGCTGGAGTCCCATGGCTTCTTGCTCTTCTAGTACCATCTATTGTTTGGTCGTTTGTCTTTTGCTCTGGATTTCGTTAATTTTGGTTTTGGCTTTTCTAGAAACTGAGTTGCAGAGCTGTTTCTCTCTTGATTCCATTCCATTGCTTGCTGAGTTGGCTTTTCATCACAGGAAAAACATTTATCAACGGATGAGCTTGCAATAGTTAGTTATTTTCCTTTCCGGTTATAACTAGATTTCCACTTTTTTTTTTTTTTTTTATTTTTCTCTTCCTATTGTATCAAAAAACCAAAAAAAAAAAAAAAAAAAAAAAAGGGAACTTAAGATTATCCACTTTGTGTGTAATAGGATAAATAATAACATTAAATCTATTCTCTCTTTTTTTTTTTTTCTTGTTTCGTGACAATATTATTTTGGAGTTTATACACTAGGACTTCTATTTTGGTTTAGTTATAAATATTATCTTTATTATTTATTATTTATCTTTCTTTTTAAGCTATAAAAGCGATGAAAATGAACCCAAAATATCTAATATTTTTGAATTACACAAAGACTGATTATATTTTGAAAAAAAGATATTGAATTATGAGAATTTCACTTAAATTCTATCTAACTCTAGTAATTATAGCCTAGTGAATAAGACGTTTTTTTTCGTGAGTAGAGTCTGTAAAAAGCATTAAGAAATAAATAAAAAAACATGCCATTAAAAGGGTGCATATAGGGTCCTTCTTAAACATAAAGTATTTACGGCGATTTATATTGATTTAGATAACATGCTGAGTAATGAAATTAAAATATTTGATGGAGACTTTTGCCAGATTTGTCCATTTGGTCCTGTTGTTGTTTAAAAAAATAGATAAGGTCAAGCCTTATAAAAAATTTGGTAATCATGGCGCGTCCCTATTATTTTTCAGACTGGAAAAAAAAATCAGTATCGATCAGAATGTCGAGAGATTTCCCCAATTCGATTTAAACCCACCTTAAGCTTTTTACTTTGATAAATACACTTTCCAAATTCCAATGAACTATTGGTTTCCAACGTAAATCAACTAAAAGGTGAGAACGCTTAATGAATTTCAAAAATCTCACCAATTATTAGATGATAGTGACAATGTATAAATTTGACTTGTTATTTGGATTCAGAGACATCTGGGATGATAACGCCATAAATCTTCGTATACATGTGCAGAATGATCGATACAACTGGTGACTGAGTAAGTATTGAACCTATCGCCTAACCATCTATGATTAGAACCCGCAACCCTCCAACTATTAACAGCCTGAGATTGCAACAGCCGCTCCCAATACTCAAGTCGTTCGAACGTATGCCAAAAAGAATAAGTGTGCTGCCCGATGATTGTGATGCAGCCGCATAGTTTCAAAACCGAAATAGAAAATAATCACAACTGAATTGCTCGAGTCTTTTTTTTTTTTTTTGAAAGGAACCTGATTTCCACTTTGTTGTAATAGGATAAATAATAACATTAAATTATTCTCTCTTTTTTTTTTTTCTTTTTCGTGACAATATTTATTTTGGTATAACTAGACTTCTATTTGTTTTATTGATAAATATTATTTTTATATTTTTTATTATTTCTTCTTTTTAAGTATAAAAGGTGAAATGAACCAAAATATTAATATTTTGAATTACAAAGACTATTATATTTGAAAAAAAGATTTGAATTTGAGAATTTTCACTTAAATTCTCTACTTAGATAATTAACTAGATTAGACTTTTTTTGAGAAGTGTAAAAATTAAAAAAAAAAATGTATTAAGGGTGCATATAGTCTCTTAACATAAAATATTTACGTTAAATTGATAGATTTGAGTAATGAAATTAAAATATTTATGGATTTGCCAGATTCATTTGTTTGGTTAAAAAAATAAATCAACCTATAAAAAATTTTATCATGGTCTGCGTCCTATTATTTTCAGATGAAATAAAAATATCATCTCAAATGTGAGATTTCCCAATTCTATTTAAACCACTTAATTTTATTTTAAAAATACATTTCAATTCCATGAATATTGTTTTCCAACTAAACAATAAAAGGTGAAACGCTATGAATTTCAAAATCCACCAAATTAATGATAGTTGCAATTATATTTGACTGTATTGGAGAGGACATGGTGATAACGCCAAAATCTTCGTTTACAGCTGAGCGTACAACTGTGCAGGAAGGTTTACCCCAACCACTATATTGAACCCACCCTCAACTTCAGCCGAGATGCACCCTCCATCCAAGTCTTCCGTATGCCAAAAAGAAAAGTCTGCCCGAGTTGATGAGCCCTTTTACCGAAATAGAAATACACAACTGAATCTTTTAACAGCTGATCGCATTCTCCTACTTATTTCCATCCCACAACCAGACTTTTCAGCAAATAATTAGCAAAAAATTCATCTTAATGACTACATACGTAACCTAAAAAGAATTCCTATTCACATAAGTAACCGAAGAATTCATCTTAAGGATACTGCAAAAATTACGAATTTCTTGTCATTCTAGGGGGCGATAATGATTTTAATGAAAGGGGTGACCTTGTGACAGAATAAGATTAGTGACAAGGAGGTCATGTTATAAAATTCCATTGTGTTGATTTCTTCTTTTTGTAAAGCTGTAGTGTCTTTTTCTTTGAAAAGCAGACACCATCCAAGTTTCTGCACGCTGGACATGATTGGATGCGAACAGTTTAACAGAACTTGCTAATTAGATTTCCGTACTATTTGGATGCGTAGGACTGCCTCTTTTTTTATTAAAAAGTTAAGTTTTGATTTTAGGGTGTTTGTTTTGGAAATTATGAATATAAAATCTTTGAAATATCATCAGCAGCATTGGATTGTTTTGTGAGAATGGTGAATCGTGAAAGTTTCTTTTTGTCTTTTCCTTTCCTTGGAATGATGTGATTTCTTGTGATAATTAGTGCTTAATTTAATTGCTTCTTTTTTTTTCTGCTGGCTATTTGTTCACTGAACAGATATACAGCATTTTGTTAGAACTTTAATTGCTGTTATATTTAATTAAGAAGGTTGATGTTGTTAGTTTTTGTTTATCAGTGTGGCTAAGATTGTCCAAGAGTACAAGAAGAGGCATCTTGAAGGGGACAAAGACGCTATTGATTCAAAGTTAACAAGTTGCTTTTTGACACTGCCTGTTAGTATCTGTGAGATTTAAATTTGTTTTTCACATTGATAAGGAAAATGAAACAAAGTAGACATTCAACTATTAATTCTTTAATTTGTAGGTTTCTAGTATTTCTGGTTGTTTGTAACCTTCTATGATTCTGCATTATATATTTTTCAACTACCTGCAGACTACTTTTCACAAGGATCTATCAGGTGGAGTACACTAACTTGAATTCATATGCGGAGCTGCTGCAAATAGTTGAAACGTAAGTATTTTAGTTATTCTATATGTATGTCCCAAATGGTAAAATTCAAATCAAATGGTGAATTGACTATCATTTAGGTTGAAACAGGCCCAGCTTTCTGTGACTGATCTCATAAAATTCGAAAATCATCTATATTCTGCCTTAAAAAGTATCAGGGCTAAAAAGGTTGGTGACAGAACTTTGATGACCCAACACCTGGTTTTAATTCTATTTCAAATCGACTTCATAAGTTGATAACAAGAAACAAAGTGAACTATACCAAGTTGTCTACTGCATGCTTGCATCTTTATCTTTTAATTCCTTGGTTTGCATAAAGCAATTCCCCATACTCATCAGATACGATACACAATACTTGCAGCCTTCAACATCTCATACCATATGTTGGTCCAATCCATAAAAACATTTTCCGTCTTGACAATCTTCCTTCTGCTACTCCAAATCAACAAAACCACAATAACTGGATTGATAAGCTTAGACACTCAAAATGACTTGGTAGACAAAAGTTCTCGAACCAGCATCTAGTTTTTAAAGAGAAAACAAGGTCCTCTGATCATTAAGCAGAGAAATTGCTATGCTTTGCATATTTTTATAAAGCTATTTCCTGGATCACACAAACAGTTCTTTGTTGGAAGCTGGTAGGCCTGCAATTATGTAGTATCATGAGCAAGTAAACTTTGGTATCAACTTAGGCTGGTAATATTTCCTAAGCGTATATTATTATCTAATTAGCTAAAACACCAGATGAATGAGTTTGATTTTTTGAGTTTGACAGATTTCTATCTGACCCATCACTTATTTCACAAAGATGGACATTTTTATTTCCATTTTCCTGATGATGATATTTATCCTAATATTTTGCAAAAAATGTCTAGCACAGAACTTTTCTTTTGTATTTCTCTGTCTATCATCAAAAGTTATTTTGTTCAGATGCTATCTTCTGTATTTTTACTTCTATTCTCATTGCATAAATTTTGCAGACAGAACTAATTTTTCAGTTTCTACATGCCCTCCACAAAAGGGTATCAAATCGATTTAATCTCTACTTGAACATGTTTCTGCTTCCTGTGATTGGATTTTCCCTATTCAATCTTCTTATAATTGAGTTCAATTATTCTTCCCTTGTTACAGGATGAGAGTAAATTGTCTGAAACTTTATACATGATTAGTTTACAATAGAATGCCTAGGTTCACTTCCTAAACTTGAATTTCATCTACATAACCTATTTAGTTGAACCTGGTAAAGCTGGGTTAACCAGTTCCATACACCTGAAACTTGATTGTAAAGTTTGACAAGTTAGTACAATAGTTGCAATGCAGTTTGTTGCTGTAATTCCTGATCCGAATTACAATTTAGGCATGATGCTTTGTCCTTGTTGATTCTAAATAATCAAATAAAGATGTGAACAAATACCCTAATTCTACTTCCTGTCTTTTCATCCTAACTCCCCTAAGAGGGTAAATTCTTTGCACTTATTATAAAAAATTATGAACTGTATATAGAAATCAAGGAAAATGAACCAGAAAGTAAATGCATAATTGTATTTTATTCGTGTGTGTTGGTGTATGATATAGGATATATCAAGTACAGAGTTTGTTTTCCTATCCCAAAAGGCAACATCATAGTAAAATTTTTGAGATTGGCTAGTATAGAAATCATGCGCACAACGAATTTGTTTCCGCATGAGGTCATGAACGTTTATAACAATATTGAAGGCCATTTTGTGTTGGATGTTGCTGATAAATAAAGCTATTAACAGGAAAATAAGCTGAAAGAGGAAAATGGGCTTCTAGAGAAAGAGGTAATTCAAAGAATATGAAATTACAAGAGTAAGAAAATCGTATCCAGCAAAAATATGTGAAAAACTGAAACTTACAGAACTTTAATTTTTACTTGCAGATTGAAGCAACGAAGACCGATGTTGAGCTGATGAAAAAGCATGGCAGTCGCCCAGAACTCGATCTGTTCAATTCTCCACAATCAGCTAGCAAGGCTAGATGTGATGGGAATAAGGTGCGAAATTGTTGCAACTAAACAGGAAGCATTCTCTTTTTCTTTCTGGCAAGTGACGTGCCCATTGCTTCTATTTCTATTATTTGCTTCTTTGCTTCTGTCTACCATATTATTTGAAGTACATCCCCTGACTATCTCAGCACTCTGGTTCCAGTTTCTTTGATCAAAATGGAACCTTTCATTGTTCTATGCTCATTTTAAGTTGCATAATGCAAAATATTATGTTTCCAATAAATTTTAGAAAAAATGTGTAGAAAATATTAGCCTGTTCTCTATGTTGTACATTCTACTGTCATTTTTTATCACAAAGAGAAAAGCAACAAGCCCAACCGCTTGGAAGATTACAAATATAATAAGGGATGAGGCCGGCTAGACGAGACAGTAGACATGTTCCATTGCATGCATTATCGTAGGCTTGAGTTTTGTTTGGTAACCAAACATTCCAGAGATCTTAGCTCTTAGTGTTTAAACTCATCCATTCAAGCTTTAATTTTCCCCATTTTTCCTATAATTATATTTTTTTTATTAATTTGACTGATTAGGATTTGAGAGTTTCAACTTGTAATCTTCCATGGAATAAGTTTTTTTTTTCCTTTTTGTGAAAAAAAAAAAAGAAAAAGAAAGAAAGGAAAAGCTGATTTCTTGCTTTTGATTAGTATTTGGGCTTGCTGGTTACATTTTAGCATGTGTAATCTTTGGGCTTGTTTGCAGTGTGTCTTATATTAGAGCCTTTCTGCTTAATTTTTGACGTTTAACAACAAATTGGAATGGAAGTGGACCGTAGGCCCAATAGATTATCCCAAATACAAGTAGAAGAGCTTTAAAAACCCGAGTCCGTATCCTAACCCTAACAACTTTAACACCAATGCGTACATAAATTTATGCATGTGAAGCCTCATTTCCAAATGGGCGCTTACATGGGAACTTGTGATTAGACTAGCATAAATGAAAATATCAAAACGGTCATTTTTAAAAAATTTAGCATGCAACACCAATTTAATATATATATATCAAAAACCGTCAATTTTTAAAATTTAGCATAGCAAACACAATTTAAGATATATATACTAATTATATATATATATCATATACATATATATTATATATATGTGCTGTGTGTGTGTTTGGAACTTATAATCGTAAACATTCCGACCTTTAATTATATACCAACATGGCGTTTACAAATGTTTATCTCTTCAGATATAATCTTTTGTTTCTCATTATTCTTGATTTAATATAAAATTCACATTACCAAACCAAAATCATGTCAAATTCCTAATTGACCATCATATCTTAAACATAAAATTAATATCATACAGCATAAACAAATTTTCAAAATTGACAATAAGCAGAAGAAAAAAAAGGACTAGCTTAGCAAGGAACCCTCTTTTGTATCTAACGTCTTATCGGCTTACCACAGATGAATCGTCAGTCAGTGGCATGCAAATGGAACACTCTACTACAGATAGCTTTACAGAGAATATATTTCTTCCTTTATGCTTATTTTAACCCTACCTATAAGTTCTGGATCTAAAACTGATTGATCATACTTTCTCCATATACATTTACTTTTACTTTTTGCACACTTAATTATTTAATGCCTTCTTTATGTTACTGAAAAAACAGCTAGCAAAAACTTTTCCATATAGCTTGTATTTATGAGATTACATATTAATCAAATGAATAATAAGAAATAAAATTAATGTAAATAAAAATTAAATCGCAGAAATTTAAATTTTACATACGAGAATTAATTATTAAATTTCATTTCTATCACTGCATCTATGTCATTGATGTTCGACGCTCTTTTATTTCTTTTTAAAGTAAATAACAAACAGATTTATCTCTTAGTCCATAAATTAAATACACGTTGATTCAATACTTAAAAAAATAAATTTACGTTCTCTTTTTCCACTTTATGTATTCTTTTTCTTCCCTACTCGCTTATGCAATTTTTATTTTGTATATAATAAAAATCATTTCTTTGAGTTCCTTTCTCTTTACTATACTGAATTTAAACATGAATTACCCAGCCTTTCATTTCGTCTTGTTTTATTTTTAATAATTTAATTCAAAAAGAAAAATACCAAATGTATGAAGCGTTTGAGTATAGTAACGCACATAACCTTGAAATTTAAATATTTAGAAATATTTATTCTTAATAGTCATGTTTCCACGACGACTCTCACCAACACCGCCTGATTCACCTTCCTGTAAAGTTCAACAAAGCACCTATTTTCAAGAATATGATGCAAAAGTGCAAAAAACCAATAACAATTTTGCCTACATTTGGACTTTTTTTTCTCAATTATTTAAAAACAATTACAAAGAATGTGTAGAATCATATCAGAGAACCAAATACACTTTCGCTTTTATGCTAGATAGAGTGTTTTGTTATTTTAAGCTCTTTTTTTAGTTATTTCTATATATATTACATTTAATCTAATTCAACATATATCTTTTTTCTAAATTGAAAATAATTAATAACTTTTTTAAACAACTCTTTAACACAACTAATCTAAAACAATCTTACACAGAGCTTATAAATGGCAATAGCTCTTAAATTTGAAATATCTAATTAACTGTTAGAAGGATTTGAGCTCTCTCTGCATTGTTAATCAAAATCCATTAAATATACATATAATGCCTTAATTGCATTACTTCACAGTTACAATATGATAATCGAAAAAAAATCTATGACCCCACCCACCAGGCTCATCCTACACTAAAAAACAAATATAAACTAGTTCTTGCGGAAATCTGATTATTTGTTAAGCATTCTTTTTTTTGTCTTAGTAAAGATATCTCTTTATAACATGTATAATTAGGTTTCAGTCTGTGAAATATTTCACAATTTTAAAAAAATTATGATATAATACAGTTAAAAAAATATATAATACTAATTTTCATTTGCAAGCAAAAAAAAATTAAATCAATTAAAAATATTTTCGTGAAAGCCTGGATAATTACTCAAGCAGCAGACAGAGCACACTCAAGCGGACTTTTAGACTTACGTGTGATGCTAATTATCTAAACGGTATGTGTCACAATCCTTCTCATTCACTGTCTTGTTTTCTGCAAACTAAACTTTGATAGATCAAAGCTAGAAAAGTTGTAATTTTGACAACAAGAAATGTACTAATATCGTTCTGCAAGCATTTTAAGCACACCATTGAACATGGAATATATTTATGCTTTTCTGGTTTTTGTACTCTTTTTTATTAATATAATTTAGCCACTTTGGATCTTTTAGAATGACAATAGATCAATGAGAGGTCTTTAATGTGTAGAAAAGAAAGAAGAATAAAATTCGTCACATGTGCACAAAACCTTTGCATGTTATTATAAAAACATTTAAATAACAATTATATATTATAATATATTTAATATTCAAGTCTCGCAGAAGATTTTTTCGACACAATTAAAAATAACGCTATTATCAATTGACTGTCATCTATATTAACAATATTTTAATAACTTTATTAACATACATGAATAAATATACCAATACTTTTTCCATTAACAATTTCAATAAGAATGCAAATATAAACAATATAATCAGTAAATTTAAAATTTAAAAGTTCCACAATAAAGAAATTAAAATTAGAACTAAATAAATAATAAAATTCTATTGTGTTGATAAAATATTTACCAGACTCCGTTTAACTTACTTGTTCTAAAAATAGGCGAGAAACCCAGTAATCGCGCAGACAATAGTGGAGACAGCCTCATTCTATGATTACATCTGAGAGTACACAGCCCCTCGTTTCTCGCTGGATTGGAGATAGCATTTTTTTGAAATAGTTTTTTAAACATAACTTACGTCGTCTATTGTATCGTCTGAATTAGTATCCATTTTCAATCCCGGTAAAAAGTACAAAATTTTACGTATGGCTCTACTTAATTCCCCCAAATTAACAGACATTTCAACAACAACCCTTAATCTAATACCCCACGCCTTATCACCAAACACAAAGCAATTTACATGAGATCCATTATTCTCGCTGATAATGCTCCCAACCCGTTCATCCTGCCCCACTCACCCTAATCACAGACGTCTCTGCACGCGCTACTTTACACGTGGCTTATCTTGCAGATGAGGCTCTAAGAAATATAAAATAATGATAATAAAGACCGATTGACTCCGGATAAAGCTATATATTTCGGCGCTTATATAATCTGTCTTCTAGCCATTTCCTCTCCCAAACTTACAAATAAAATTTGCCCAGAAAATTTATGTATAAAAACCGTTAGCCATTAAACTTTAATCCCGAAAACCAGCCGCCGTCACGTCACTTTCCTCTCTCGTAATCTGTCTACTACTATCTCCCTCGCCCTACCCCTCTCTTCCTCTCTCTCTAGACTTTTCAAATATTCTGAGAAAAACAACAAAGAACTTTGCCTTATCAACTCTTGCCATAAGATGTGCAGTGCAGAAGGTTAAATGAAATCTTCTCAATCACCAGCTTTAAGATAAAATCTTTTGTGTTTATCCATTCCCTCGTTTTAGCAATAAAAAATTGTCTCAAAAAGGAAAAAAATTTCATTACAGACCACAGGAGGATTAGATCAGAAGAATTTTTTGAAAATTTTCCACTGTTGGTTATCATCTTGAACTTTTGCCATTTAATTTTATCCCAATTGAAAGCAAAGTAGAAATTATCGAGAAAGCAACAGCAAGATCACAATCCAAGGATTTCTACGAGCGATCCCTCTCTGTTTCAACAATGCTACGCTTCACCGCCTATCCGCGATCCCGTATCCGACCACGCTTCTGCCGGGCGTCGGACTTCAACAGGTCGCATGGAGAGTCCATCGGCGACCACTTCAGATCTCACCGCGCGGTTGCCTCTGACGCATTGAGATTCGTGGCTTGAATCTTTAGATTGGACCGTGAGTATCTTAATTGGTTTATGTTATGCCTTGTATCTTGTTTGTCTATGTGTTTTTATTGCATGGGATTTGTTTCTACAATCTCCATTGTTACGGCCTCTCTCTTTACTCCCTTAGCCCCTCCGTCTCTCGAAAGGACCAATCCTTGTAAGTAAAATAATTTTTGTCTTACTTTTATGGAGGAAACATGTTATAGACCTCGTAATATCGATATATACTGTATTTGATTTTCTATTTTCTATTTCTCTAATTTGTCTGAGTTTCACTATTGGTTTTTATTACCCCTTCTCCTGCCTGCATCTCTTTAGTTCTTTTTTCTAGTACTTCCGACGTCTTCCGAAA